GGGGAGGACTGGAAAGAAGGAATGAAATAAAATGAAGTGTTTAAGAGATTATACAATTTATTAACATCAGCAGCACTGACATTTTAAACTGGTTAATATTTATTCAGTGCGGGATAGGGTATCTGGTGAATTCTAGGATGTTTAGTAACATTTCTGGCATCAACTCACTAGATGCTCAACACACAGTTGTGACAACCAAAGATGTCTCTAAACATTGCAAAATCCCCAGGGTAGGCTGGATGAAACAAAATTATCCTCGTACCAGTCTGAATTCATAGTACCAGATTCCAATATTTATCTCACATTTACCTCCCTACAGACTGGTAGCTCAGATTGGAGCTTGAAACTAGCAGCTTTGAAACATAAGAACCAAATAAACAAATGCTGCCTGTGGGAGGGTAGCAACTTAAAGAGAATTATAGTTATAGTAGGTAGCTATGGTTAATCTATGCATTCCATCAACAGGAAAGGGATAACTTTTTTGTGTTTAATACTAAGAAATTTGCTTTTGATCATTCTTTTGGGATGATAACTTGGTCGACCTGTCACTAAAGCTTAGTCTCACCCAGATTTCCTAAGTATTAGCCATTAGTGTTTACCTGAAAAAAAAAATCAAGCCAGAGATCTTAATTTCTAAGAAAGTATGAATCACAATTCATAAATCATTTAAATTTATACAAATTACTTAAATTAGTCAAACATTTACAGTTTCAAAAATACAAAAACTAGTGTTTAGTTATCACTCCTAATATACATGAGCAAAAAGGTAATATGCAAAAAGTAAAGCTAACTACCAGAAGTAGAATCTTATGAACTACATGTAACTGCCTGGTATGTTCCATCACTGGCTATACACATTGTTTTCAGTAAGATAAAATTTCCATATATTTATATCATAAATATATAATGAAGATCATGTAAGCCCTACATATTTTACAGGGTGTTTGTGACAATAACATTAAAGGAGTTTTAAATTTTACTTGTACAAGTATAAATTTTTAAAGAAATTTGAATTTTATTCATTATCTAGGATGCTATATTTCACATCTTCAATGTTAGAGTGGCTTCTTTTGTCTTCAAATAGGACCTACCCTCATACCTGCTCTTCCGAGAGCTACCTGACACAATCAAATAATCACCAATCTGCCCTCACAAAGCCTATGCAATCAACAGGCCAATAGTTAATTCTACTTTATATATATATATGGGTATTCTATTTTATATATGGGTATCTGATGTTCTTAAGGAAGCTAATTACAAAAGTGATATAAAGAAATACCAATCATTTCAAGTCCACTGAATTAGGGAAGCTACACAGATTTAAAATTCTGTGAACTACAAAATGAGATGGCACACTTCTACATTTATATTTGTAGAGGGTTCCTGTTGGAGCAATGATGAACTTGGTTATTCAGATCAACTCTTCCAATAAAAACTTCAAAAGCTAAAGAAAATATAATTTTGTGTATTATAAGAAAAAACTCTGAACTTAATTATAAAATMTATAATAGTACAATTTTAAATAATTTTTAATGGTTCAAATTTAAAATACTCATATTAGGTAATTGTGACAACTGTGTTGAGATTGTGGTATGCTTGAAACTGATTTACAGAAACAAGACACATTGGTGGTGGGGGTGGGGGTTATCTAGTCTAGTCTAGTTCTACAATGCTCCAGATACAAGAGAGGCAAACTATAACTCCACCTATGACACATGTTACCAGATTTCCTTTTTACAACAAAAAAATACACCTTAATGTTAAAGAGTTGGATCAGAGAAATTCAAACTTATTCCAATATGTGGAAATTTGGTGTGATACACTTAAACTAGCAGAAACCTGCTCAACTGCTTCACACACAGGTCTTCCATGACCCTCTATTATGCAAACTGCAACAGTTCAAGCCAATTCCCTATTTCACTCTTGAGCCTTGTCAACACTGAGGTAATAGAACTGGAAAAACTCATCATCGCTCCACAATGATAGTCAAATATCACAATTTATTTCATTTGGTAAAAATCATATCAGTGCCAAATAAAACTAATGCAAATGTAGTAAAATATGCAAGATTTTGAGTAATTCTTTTGTTGAAAAGGACTCTTGGGGAGCCTTAAATTCTTCCTGCAATTATTTAAGCATTCTTTTGCTCCTTTGCCCTTTTCATGCCCCATCTCTCAAGTCGTGGGGTAGGGATAGGGGTGTGCAGAAAACCAAAATGAACTAATCAGCATGTATTTATGCATTTAGTCTACTCTAGTTTTATCCCCACAGGTTTTACCTCATACTATGCTCCTCCAGGAAGAGAGCTAGTTATTCTTCTCTGAACTCTCAAAACCTAATTAAATGCCTTTCATATAAAGTCATCCTTAACAACTAAATTACATACAGGCAATGTATAAGGACTAGAGATGGAGAAGTTAAAGAGAGAAACTTTGCCCTCATGGAACCTATAGAGGGGGAACGAGTGGGAAAAGACTGGACTTTTCCTGCAGGAACCCAGTCAAATAATGAAAAATCTATCAGTACAGCCCCACTCCTTACATTTTTTTTCTCCCACTGCCACCCCAGGCTTAGATAAGGGAAAAGAAAGCAGGTTTTCTCTTCAGAAATATAAATGTGTATCTCCAACACTGACCACTCTCAACTCCACGTTCATATTAGTCACCTCATCCACAGGGAGGCAGTCATAGAAATTAATTGCATGTACTCCAAAGCCAGAGAATGCTTGGGGGTGAATCTCAACTTTCCCACTCACAAATGGGGCGAATTAAGAAAGTTTTCTGTACCTTCATTTTCTCATCTGTATAGGAACAAAAATAACTCCTACTGGCTGGGCTTAGTGGTGCACACCTATAATCCCAGCAGTTTAGGAGGCTGGGGCAGGAGGATTGCAAGTTCAAAGCCAGTCTCAAAAAAGGTGAGATGCTAAGCAACTCAGTGAGACCCTGCCTATAAATTAAAAAATATAAAATAGAGCTGGTGATGTGGCTCAGTGGTGAGTACCCCCCAAGTTCAATCCCTGGTACCCCTCCCCCCAAAATAGCTGGTACCACACACAACTATTTTGAGGATTAAACAGATTATACAAAAGTACTTAAAACTCTGCCTAGAACACTATTTACACTTACACTATTATTTCTAGCATTTATATTATTACCAATATGTTTAACAAGCATCTAAAACTTATCCAAACTGAATTCATACTTTTCCTCCCAAATCCTATTCTCCACATCCTCTCATTTTAGTAAACTACACCACTGCCCTCCTAGTTGTTCCAGCTTAAACTGAGAATTTATTATTTCTCCTTTTTCCTCCCACTCCACACCAACAAGTCCTGTCAATATGTTTCAAATTCTAACACTTACATCATCTCCACAATTACTAGCCCTAGCCTACAGTACCACCCATCTGGCCCCCAAGAGGTAAGCAATAGCCTATCTCACCATTTTTATTTCATCCCTACCTCCTGACTCTACAGTTAATTCTCCATACAAGAAAGCTTAAACTGGATGCCACTTCCTTGATGCAAACTTTCCAGTTTTCCATTACACTTAGAATAATATCTTTACTTTAACACAGCCTACAAAGGCCCCCCCTAACCTAGCAGGCCCTCCATTCTCATCTGCCACAACTTTCTCCCTTTCTTACTGTGCTCTGAACACTCTCACCTTGCTGTTTTTCATCCACTTTTGTCTTGTTTCCACCTCAGAGCTCTGTCCTGAGCTCTGGGGCAGAAAAATATGAAGCATGGACTAGGAAGTCAGATTGCCCAAATTTACAGTCTCTACCACATTTCAGTTGGGCATCTTTGTCTGTTTCCTCCTTTATAAAAATGGAGAGAGTGTTAGTTACTTCATGTGACTGTTGTAAGAATTTAGAGTTTAGAATAGTACTTACATATGTAAGCTCTACTAAAGCATTCACTGCTACTATTATCCTTTCCTGAGATGTTATTATTCAAGCTCTTCCCCTCACTCAATAGATTAAACTGTCCCCTCCTTTAAATGGCCTCCCCAGACAGATCCTACCTAAACAACCTTCCCTGTTCCTCACTCTCCTCTTACCTTTCTTTTTTTCCACTGTACTTACTCCTATCTAAAATTATTTTATGGACTTATTCTTTGATGTCTATATCCCAACTGAAACAGGAGCTCTGCTAGGTTGGAGACTGTCTTCTTCGCTGCTATATTTCTAGTTCTGACTCAGAATCTGACTTTTGAATTCACACTTCTCATTCAGGGTAGGAACTGATGCAAATCTCTTAATAACAATATCATACTTAGAAAGCCTTTCATTTCCATACTCATGATCTCATCTGACCCTTGAAAAAGGAACAGCAGCTATACAATCATCTTACATTTTAGAGATAACAAAGTTTCAGGTTTGAGTGAATTACCATTTACTTGTCTTTGAACACAAAACTAGTAAATGGTACAAAAATTATTAGCCCTGCTTTCTGATTCTAAGGCTCCTTCCAACAGGTAGAAGGTTATTTCACTCTTGAAATAAATTTACAGAAATGTAAGCTCTTAATGCCCTATATAAATACACGCCAATGTGCTATAGTCTTCCCTTCAATACTCAACAAATATTTGTCCCAGGGTCTGAGAGTATTATAAATTAGTATTAACTCATCAATAATGTACTAATCCCTGGCAAGAGTTAGCCAAACTATTCAAGTAGTCAGAAGGTATAACTGAATATTCCAAGTCAACATAGCAACAACTCCTAAAATTCGGTGTACATGTGTTGAGTATAACATGCTAGTTCCAGTATGCAAAAAGCTTTCTCTGCAAAACCCAAAGGGGAGCATTGTATACCAAGATCACTGTGATAAATCCCAGTTAGTTTTTGATTCCTGATCCATCAAATTCTGAGACAATAACTCAGATAACCCATCAGACTTAAGAGTCACAGTTAGATGGCTTGGAGTTGAGGATGAGAGGGGGCAAAACTGTGTGCAAGATCTCTATCTACAATGGCCAACGACTATCACATACCTCAAACAGCCAATTATTTTTGTAAGCCTTCTGTAGCATTTTCCATGCCTGTGTTATCTCATGTGTTCTTGTAACATTCCTGGTCCTGTGGGATACAATTAGGAGGATAGAGGCTGCTTTCCATCCACTAGACACAAAAAAGAAACTGAGGCAGCAGGTGGTTGACTTAGAACTTGTCCTCAGCGATTTGGGCCCTTGGGGGATCCCACAGGAAACCAGGATATAAAGATTCCTAGTCTCTGAAGTCACTCTCCATCCTCGACTTAACATGTCTAATTGCAGGGCTGAGGAGATGAAGAGTAGAAATCTGAATCCCTTCACTAAGGAATTTGTAAAAGGGCTGTCCATTTCCATGTCCCACTAGCTCTCAGGCTTTCCCCGCCCCCGAGGAAAAAGGTGCAGACCCTGCCCCGAGGGTGAGGCCTCGCCTGCCCGCACCTTGGTGCCTCCCTCCCAGAAGGGCGCGCTCCCGCTCTGAGCGGGCACCTGTCCCTTCGCCACGTCCAGCGGCTCTCCTGATCTTCCAAGACTCAAACGCCCACAGCCAACACCGCCGCAGAAGTGCCAGCGACCAGCGAGCACCACAAAACCAGGGAGCTGCAAGGATCCTCGCAAACTTACAGTTTTCCTACAGCGTGCGCGTCACGGCGGAGTGACGTCATGGGACCCGGCGTTCGGGAGGTCAGACAGCAGAGCGCGAGCCCTCGCCCCCACGGCTCCGCCCCCAGCGCCACAGCAGGAGAGACGCCCCATCCTTTGCGCCCCGCCCCGGCTCCGGCGCCCCGCCTCCGCCACGAACCCTGGGCGCCGGCGCTGACGGGATGTTCTGCTGCGTGCCCGTGGGCTTCGTGGGCGTGCACACCTAGGAAGCACATCTCTAATAGGATCTTTGCCCAAAGCCTGTGCCCGGGCTGAGGGAATTCAAAAGACTGGCACAGAGACCCCCAGAAACACAGCAAACACGCCGTTGCCTGGGGGTTAGAGCAGGGCGCCAGGGTTTTGATTTAGTTTTTCCACACACACCGCCTTTTTTCCCTCACGTGTTTATTAAAAGTGCTCCACGTGTAGAAAGAGCCTTTGCTTTCCACCAGGTGCTTATGGGTCTCAAGGCGGGTCCTCCAGCCTGAGAAGTCAGGCTTCTGACTTCTCATGGGCCTTCTCTCCACCCGGTTCCTAGCAGGCTCCTCCCCAGCCCTCCCTGTCCGGGCTCAGGCCCGCCCACGGCTGGCTCTGTCCCGCCCCCTCGGCTCCGCCCTTCCGGCTCCGGCTCCGGCTCCGACCATCCCCCTCTGTCTGTCGTCTGTGCCCATCCGCCCCGCCCTGCCCAGGCGCCGCCTTCAATCCCTTCCTAAGAGCTTTTAGTTTTTCCTCTTTGTACTGGATTTCCCGTTTCTGGTCAATGAAGCGCCCTACGGGTCCACCTCTGTTAAGTTTAACAAACAGTGATCTAAACATTATGCTTCTTCGCCAGGGTAAACTTTCCAGCCCCACCCCCCATTACCCACGTGACTGTACCCTCCTGGGTCAAGTCCAGCGCTCTGCTCTTTTATGCTTTCCAAGGGAGTTCTGGCGACAAGATGGCTCATTAGGAGGAAAAAGGAAGGCGCGAAGAACTGACAACAGAATATTAACGTGACTTCTGGTTGTGAGAGTCTTAGAAGCATAAAAAAGTAAACGTTGTGGTAAAAAATGGATCCAACAAATTTGTCTTGAGGCAAAGATAACGGGGAAAAGAAACCTTGGATACTAAGGAAATATTGAAAATAGCAAGGATCACTTTTAAAAACTTACTTGGGACCATGGAAAATACCAAGTCAGGCGTTTTGCAAGGCAGCTCCAGTGTATATAAAACCTAGAACAATATTTTGTTTACACACTTAGTGGGAAAGAATAATGACGGGGGGAATGTAAGCCTTTAATTCCTTTGGGATCTGATCAGGTAAAAAGTATCTGTGTATTTTAATTCTAGAAAAACTTAAGTAGTTACAGTTTTGGAAAGTTTCTGATGGGTAAAATTTGTACATTTTAGTATCATAATGTTTTAATAATCTCTCAAATGATGTAAGTTACATTTGTGAAGTTGTAATTTTAACAAGGTTTTTGTTCTGTGTAGCATCAATAAAGTAAAATCAGCACTTTTTAAAAGTTCCACACATTTGTAGAATAGTGATATTCATGTTTTTCTTCCAAAACAATAATTTTAAGATACCTTTAAGTTGTCAATTTCATTATTTATATGTTTATGAAACGTTTTATGCATATCATTTCCAAAAATGGGAATGATTTTAAGCAAGATTCTAGATATACCTAATTGTCCCACAGTTAAATACTATCTTTTTTTTAAGTGGAAATGGCTAAAAACTGTGCACCAAATATCTTAAGTGTTTTTAATATACTTTTGCCTCTGAAAAATGGAGTTACAGAATATAATTTTTTTCTCATTGTACTGTTTACTTTTTTCCCCTGATACTCCAAGTATTTAAAAAAAAAAAAATCTGTTGCTCAGTAAAGAAAAGAAGTAAATTCCTTGAATCAAAGACTGACAAACAGAAAGGGTACTCAAGTAAAGAGGGAAAGTTGAAATGTCAGGGAAATTTTTGTAGGGAAATTCAAATTTGTGTAAAAAACTTGAAGAAGAGTGATGAAAAGTAAGGATTGAAAGTATTGATATTAGAGAAAGGAATTGTAAGGACAGCTGCTTTCTTTGAAAAAAGAAAACCCTGGACCTTCCAGGTTTATCCCTGGAAATACTGAGGCCCTCTACACTTGCCCTGAAACCAGGAGCCAAAATGAACCTTTCTTCCCCATAAGTTGACTAGGTGAGATATTTTGTCACAGTGATAGAAGCTGACTAGCACAGTTATCCCTTGCCTTATTTCTATGCATTGTTCATCTTTTGGGATCAACACCAAAATTAACAAACTCCTTACATTCCTTTCTAAGCTCCGGGATCTGGTCTGAGAGAGCTCTTTCCAGGTAATTGACACAATCAATAATCAAGTCACTCTTGATTAGAGAAAGGCTCTTGTCTCTGGCACAAACCTACAAGGGTCCTAATAATATAATGAACATTTATAAAAAGAGAGAAAGAGAAAGAGAGTGTGTGTTTCATAGAGTGAAATGTTATTCTGACAAAGGAGCAGAGTTAGGGAGTTTGATGGAAGGAAGTCCTGGGACAGACTGGGGAACTATGAAGGGATGTAATTTTAATAACCACAAAATCTTACTCATGTCTTCAGTTACACAGTTTGTAACATGTTTCATATCTCATTGTATCACGTTTTCCCTCAACTCTTTTTGTGGCTAATTCTTCTCCTCGTTGGTCTATACTTAAGAATTTCCTCTGAGAAGTCTCCCCTAAGCTTCTTTTTCCTCTTTTCTTTGGAAATTAAAATTTTAATCACCTACTCTGCTGGGCTATAAGCTCTGTGAGAGTAGGAACAATGTTGGTCTGAATCAACTTCAAATCCTCTACTTGTAGCTGAGTACCATGCCCTAAATAGGTAAATATGTGTGTAGGAATGAATGCAAGAAAAGACCTTTAGGAAGGAAAAACAGTTGAATAACAACACAGCATAACATAGCAAGACACTGAAGTGGGTTGGCTCTGTTATTATCTTGGAACTTTCATGCAAATGCAATACCTTCTGCAAATCTCAAACGGTTCTCACTAAATGTTATTCTTGTAGGATGTCCTAATGGGGTGTTGCCCCTCTGGGAACTCTGAGGAATCAGAGCMGGCCACCTGGAGCCTTATTTGCATAAATTCTCCTGAAAGAACTGGACAGGTTGGCAGGCCCTTGAGGATAGCAATTAATTCTCTTAAACAAAGGATACTAGATAAAGACTGCCCCCCAACAGCAAGAAGGGGTGGAAAGTGAAGAGAGAAATGGGAAGACCAGGAGCTTTCTGATAAGCACAATTTTTGACTGTGGGCCAGGTGCAAGTTTTTGAGTTTAAAGCTGAAAGAACCAAGCTGCCTTTTTGGATGTGTTAGGATTAGGAGGCAGAGACAAAGATGCAGGAGAAAAAAAAGAGTAACAAAAAGAGTTGCAATTCTTCAAGAGATGACTCCTCACTACCACAGCCCAAAAGACTGTAGTAGGCAGAGTGCTTGAGCAACAGGCCTTGAGAGACGTTTGTATATTCTGTTCTTACTGTAATCTTTTTATTCCCATTACACTTTGAGAAGAGCTACTCATTTTCCAAGTCCAAGTTATATCATTATCTGCTGATAATAGCCAATGGTTACTATGTGCTTACTGGTTCTAAGGCACTAGGAAGCATTCTATGTGACATCTTTTATTGAATCTTCATAATTACTCAATGGAGTAGCATCATCTTATTTTATAGATGAGGTGGAATGACTTGTCTTTGGTCATGGATATGGACTGAATTCTGTACCACCTACCCACAAATGCATGTGTTGAAGTCCTAACCCTTACTGTAGCTGTTTTTGAAGAGAGGGTCTTTAGGAGGTAAAGTTAAATAGCTCATAAAGGTGGAGCCCTAATCCAATAAAATTGGTGTCATTATTGGAAGAGAAAGGAAAACCAGAGCTTTCTCCCCTACCTTGTGAGGACATAGGAAAGACAGCTTCCTGTTGTTATCCAGAAAGAAAGTCTTCACCAGGAATCAAATATGCCAGAACACCAAATTGGATTTTCCAGAATCTAGAACTCTAAGAAAATAAGTATCTATTGCTTAGGTCATGAAGTCTATGACATTCATGACAGCCCAAGTAGCCTAAGAGAGTCATCAATTAAAGTAATCTGACTCCCAATTTCAGCCTTAAAATCTTCACTCTATGTCTCTGCTTTGTCAGGATGGTTGGATTATCTCTCTCTCTCTTTTTTTCCTTACCACAAATTCTCCTGTAGCACATACACTATTTTCTCATAATGCCACCTCCGTGTTATTTAACCTACCTGCTTGCCCTCTGGAAGCACTGAAGATTTTATGACTTAAGAAGAATCGTAAAATCTGCATAATGAACAGCTTTCTGAGAAATTTAGTAATACTCTCTGTGAATTCATGATTTCAAATGGTTATGGTTTCCCCTACAAATAGATTTTTTTTTCACAATTTAGTTTCTAGAGTTGGAAGTTTTTTTATGTTTTAGGGGTTATCCATTATTGTATCACCTTTGGCAGCTAAAAAAAAAGAGAAAAATACTTAATAAAAATTGAAGTGTAAAATGAGAGATTAGGTTCCCAGTTCAACCCAGTATAGGCAAATGATGTATTGATGGCACTCACAGAACATACTTTCTTGCCCAGCAGAGAGTCACACAAATTTCTTCACCTGGGCCTCTCTCTTCTCACATAACATAGGGAAAAAAGGAGGTAAATGTCTGTGAGCTATTATAGTCATGCTTATTCTATGCCACAAATGGTAATCACAATCACTTATAAGTTACATTTTTTAAATTGATTCTTTTTAGTTATACATGATGATAGAACTCATTTTGATATAATTGTACAAGTGTGAAATGTATCTAATTCTAGTTAGGACCCCATTCTTATGAATGTACATAATCACTATGTTGTATTCTTATAAGTACATAGGAAAATTATTTTGTATTCATTCTACTGTCTTCCCTTTTC